TTATTTATTATTACAATGGATTCAAAATACAAAAACAAAATAAAATACAATGTAATCATAAGATCGAGAAATTGTGCGAAATCAAATAGTAATGTAGTTTTCAAATGGAAATACATTTTTCGAGAATTAACTCAATAGAAAAACATATGAAGAGATTGAATAAAAATAAAAGCGAAAATATAATCAACAAAAATTGTTTTCATTTTTAGATTTATGAAACTATTCTATACAAGCATTGCATTTGAATGTCTGGGCTTTTATTCTGTGAAAATTTAATCATATTTTGCTTAAGAATTGAAAACATTATTAATATTTTTTATATAAACATTTTACCCAAAGGAAAGGCGAATATTTTAATATTAAAAATCAATATTTTAGGTATTTATCCAAAGATTTATACAAAACTTTAATTATGGTTTAAATGACATGTTTATGTACTTTATATGTTTAACTCGATAAATATGTTTTATAAATAACTTGATTCCATTACATATTTAAATAAGTAACTAATAATTTCTATTATATTACAAAATACAATATAATTTTTATGATGACTACAAGAATCTACAAAAATCCAAAGCCTATAAAAACCAATGGATTTTTATATAATTTCAATGTATGTCACGATATAATGTATTACATTATTACAACAGATTTAGCCAAAGAATTACATTGTTATTATCAAAGTCTAGCAGACTTTACCATGTTTTCCATTCAATTAAGCTGTTCAATTAGATAATTCATTACAGTCAGAATAACTAGGTCAGTTCTGAGGCTTATAACAAACAAAATAAAATAACAAAGAGATATAAAAGCTTTGTTGTCATTACTGTCATAATTGTAATAAAAATAAAATAATTGAAATGAACAAGTTTTTTATTAATAGGATTTGTAAATGTTTAAAAAGTATTACTTTCATTATTTCTGACAAACATTATAATTAAAAACAATTTTGCAATCTTTTAGGTTTTAAAAAAAATAATTCTGCAGTGTTTCATCTAAACAATCTTGATAACTACACTAATCTAATCAATATGTTTTAAAAGTAGATTCTCTGTAAATTAACCGTTATGCTGATATACCTGGTCCTAACTCTGGTAGGATGGCCGAGCGGTCTAAGGCGCTGGTTTAAGGCACCAGTCTCTTCGGAGGCGTGGGTTCGAATCCCACTTCTGCCACATTTCTTTTGTAACTTTTTAAAACTATATTAATTTATTTTATAATTATTTTTACTAATTAAGGATAAATAACAAATCATATTAATTATAGCATTATATTGAATACTCAAATTACAAGTAAATTTACATTGGAGTACTAACATATATAAAAATTTATTGTAAACTATTACAATAATGAAATAACCGTTTATAATTATGTGACATGGTCATTATTGTGTACCAACTCCGATACAATGACAGTTTTTCTTGAAGGGTCCGTCACACTGGCCAGTCCTGGCGTGCGCTTCATTAATGCAGTGCTTTTTGCACAGACTGTCGAGAGGACAGCCGTATGTGTCGAGCGCCGAGACGTCTCCTTCCGGTGCCGGCATTGACTCGCAAACCTCTAATGAAATGCATATAAAAAGTATATTAAAGTTTAATTATGTTTTTGGAAATAAAGAAATTTAATTAATGTAAACTCATTACCGGTATTAATGAATACAATGGCGATTATGACGGCAGCCATGCATAGAATTCTGGTCGAGTTTTTACACATAGCTTTATAATGGGATTAAATATAACTTTTAAAAATGGTCGATTGCTAAATGTTAATTATTATTTATATAACTATTTAATTTCATGATCGTTAAAAATATTTATATAATAAGATACAGAATCACATGATATACCTAGGTTGATTGCCTCATGGTAAAAAAGCATCTGGCTTTCATTTATCATGATCAGGTATTTTAACCTATGCTGTAAACCTAATCTTACGTACATAATGCCCAAAACTGATAATACGGACATCACAATTAGTGCATTACAGTTAATTTTATTAAATATAATTAGAAATAGTTATTACAGATATTATATGTAAGTAAAATTATATAGATTTTTTAATTAATATATTAAAATTATAAAAATTTAAAATAATGTTAGCTAACATTTTAAATTTTTAGCAAAGTTCATACAAAGAATTTATTTAAAAGTATAATAAAATGAAATTTTTGCAATGTTTAATTACTATACATTTCCAGGAAACTAATTTAGATTAATGTAAAACGCTTTTATTTTTTTAACTAAAGATTAAATGTAAAATAAAATAATAATATATTATCAGTTGTTATCAAAACATAATATTAATACTTGGTTAAACACGTGCCCATTCACCAAGAATTATATTCATCATTTATAATATAACTACAGTAAATGAAATGTATGTTAAGCAATGGTTTGCCCAGTAATTTACTAATAATAAATGTATTATATTATCCCAAAGATTATATTAATTGTGTTATACAAAAATTATTATTATTAATTATAATTTTATAATTAACGGAAATATGATGATAAAAATGCATTAAATACTCTCTCTCTCTCTCTCTCTCTCTCTCTCGGACACTACAATACAATGTATGGGATATTAACAAACCGTATGATTCAGTTCAATGG